TTTTTTTTAAACAGAGCCTCAAGCTGTCACCCTGGGTAGAGTGCTGTGACATCACAGCTCACAGCAACCTCCAACTCCTGGGCTCAAGTGATTTTCCTGCCTCCACCTCCCAAGTAGCTGGGACCTAGGCACCCACCACAACGTCTGGCTATTTTTTGGTTGCAGCCGTCATTGTTGATTGGCCGGCCCAGGCTGGATTTGAACCCACCAGTTCAGGTGTATGTGGCTGGCGCCTCAGCCACTTGACCACGCCTATTTTTATCTTTTAATTCCATTTTTCCACAAAGTTTTTGAAGACCCCTTACATCAGTAGTTCTCAACCTTCCTAATGCCATGGCCCTTTAATATAGTTCCAGTGGGTCACAACCCACAGATTGAGAACCGCTGCCTTACCTGCAAGTTCCAGTTGCTCTGTATCCTCACCAGCATCTGGGAGTGACTTTTTTATGTCATTGTAACAGGTATGTAGTAGTACCTCATTGTGGTTTTAATTTGCATTCCGAGATGTCTAACCATGTTGAGCACTTTTTGATGTGCTTAGTGAACATTCATGTATCTCCCTTGGTGAGTTGTCTGTTCAAGTCTGTAGCCCATTTTAAAAACTGCATTGTTTTCTTCTTATCAAGTTGCAGTTTGGAGCCATGTTTTTAATAACATAAATAAGAACAAAATCTTTTAGAATTCCCACCTGGCCTCCTGCCAGGAATAGAGCAAAATCCAGGTACTAGGGTCTGGTCCTCCACCATATGGGCCCTCCCACTCTTCCTGTCCTTCCCTCACCCTTTGACTCAGTCCTCTTTGACACTGCCTGACTGGCCATCCTCTGAATCAGCTCACATCTATCACCAGGAATCATCTTATACAGGATCCTCTAGATTTGTTTAGGGTTTGCTCCAGACCACCCACCAAAACCTGGGGCTTCCTTGTATCCTGGGCTGCTAGCACTATTGACTAATAAATGAATGTCAGGAAAGGCTTCCCTGAGGAAGTGATATTGCATTATAACCACTGAAAGGTAAGAAGTTAAGAAGGTAGCAAAAGAACATAGCAGGTAGAGGGGACAGCATGTGCAAAGGCCCTGTGGCAGAAGGGAACACTGTTGTTCAAGGAATTGTAAGGAGAGAGAGGTAAGGGAGGAAAGCACAGCAAGGAATTATACACCCTATTTCACTTTTATCCCAAGACCCTGAGCAAGATGGGAAGCTCCCAAGATTTTGTTCTTTTTGTGCTTTTTGTCTCTGGGGTAGGAATAGAAGTGCCATGATTTATGATTTAAGCATCCCTCTGGCTGCCAAGGGAGGAAACTGTAGAGAGCTCCCAAAGAGTTGAACAACAGTTCAGAGAGGGACCAGAGTGGTTTGGGATCTGGTGGTAACCTAGGTTGTGAGAAGTGGACAGAGGTAAGAGAACGCTTTAGATGAAGATGGGCCGGTCTCGGTGATGGCAGGATGGATGTCAGTGCACTTGTGTGGGGGACTGGCTCCAGACTGGGGTAGGCAGGCTGTAGAACCAAGGCCCGAGACACCCAACAAAGAGGCCCTGGAGGAGGATGGGCTAGCCAAGAACCGCAGTGGTGGCCAGGGAAGCAGTAGGAAAGAACCTCAGAGCGCTGAGAGAGAGGGGATCGAAGACATCGCGATCAAAGCCATGGGATAATGAGGCAGGGGTCTTTGCTGTTTTGACGCCTAGGTTTCTGGATGTCAGACGCGCAGGCAGGAAGTTAGACCCGAGACAGCGAGTGTAGACAACTCTTCTGGCCAGGGATAGATACTTGGGAGTCCCGACCGGGTGGTCGGGGGCGGTAATAAGGTTTCCAGAGGCCAGGACAGGGATGAGAAGGAGGCCTCTGGCCAGCACCAGGCGAATCCTGCCCATTGTCCCACCCGTCTCAGGCCA